GGCTAGGGTCTGGAACCAACTTCCAAGAGAGGTGGTGCAGGCTCCTACCCTGGGGGTTTTTAAGAGGAGGTTAGATGAACACCTTGCTGGGGTCGTTTGACCCCAGTACTCTTTCCTGCCATGGCAGGGGGTTGGACTAGATGATCTGCTAAGGTCCCTTCCGACCCTAGAAACTATGAAACTATAAATTCTGTTGACTCCTGTGCCAAACCCAGCACATGCCTAGATGAGGCAGTGCATTAGTTGGACTCAGTTGACCCAACGTCTCTATAGATTGGGAGCCTTCGTGGAGATTTTTTGGTGCTTTTATCTAATAGCTGTCTGAATCAACTTTAGCTAAATGTGCCAAAATGCCCCGCTGAAGCACCCGATTTACATAGATGCTGTGGAGCTGGGTTGAAGTAATGCTTCTTCTGGTAAAGCACTTTTGTTTTTCTAAACATCTGCAAGCAGCCTTGTGTCTAAGTTCACTTAAGTGCCTAAAAGGTGAGGTAGGATTTAGCCCTAGCTGTTCAAGGCTTCACTAGATAAAACTGATTTTCACTAACTAGCCCACCATTAATAGATACTTTATAACATATGCCATTTCTAATAATGATACCAACTACACAATAGACAATTTTCATACTTAATAAATATGAACATTTTCAAATATATACTACCATTCCAACTGCAATGGTTAGATTCAGTGCCCCAAAGCAGTGTTTTAGTTTGTTTTGTTGCTAACTTGTGGTAGAGTATTCCTGGCCAGGTAAATTATTTATGTCAGTCTCATTATATCTAAAGAAATCCTAACTGACCTAGACTAATAAAAAAACCAAAATTATTCATGGCCATGAATTATGTTTGCCAATTGCACAAATATATGTGGTCACACTTCTAAGGTAAGGGTAAAAGAAAAGGATGACAATTATTCTTAAGGAAAACACCTTAACTATGGTAAAGACAGCAGGTGGGAGAAAGAGCACTTTGCCAGCAAAATGCAGAAATAAAAATCTGAATCAACGAATACAAACAAGACATTAGGATAATTTTACATGCATGTTCTATTTTCCATTAAAATGCACTAACTATAATAACATTTCATCTGGAATGAAATGGTTATTATTATTTTTTCAAGCGACAGAAATAGCAGGTTGTCTTTGCGTGGGCTTTATTTAGTTTTGGGGGGTTGTTTTACTGTTTTGTCACAAAAATGCTGCTGCCAAAGCAAAACAACTCTCACAAAACCAGGTTAATAGGAAGCATTTTTAACATAACTCCTGCAAACAAATAGTAAAACAAATAACAAAAGGGCTGACATATACCCAAGTTCAGAGTCAGACTGGAGCTGCAGCACTGAGGGGTCTGTGTCCCATTGCAGGGTCCTAAGTTGGTTATCAGCCGTGCAGCACAAAGGAAAAGAAAGAACACACAATTAACTGAAAGGATGAAAAAAACCCCATTTAATTAATTACATGCTGTATATGGTACATACACAAAACACGCCTGAAGGGACACCAGAGAGCCACAGGTAAGTCAAACAAGGTGTGATGCTTGCCTACAACAAGAGCAGGTGATTTATTAAAACTAAGTAGAAGTGGAATACAATCCACTAGTGAACAAAGACAGAGACTTTCAGTCTGGGAATTGCTTTTTTAATCCAAATTTTGCTTAATAACATGTACAATTTAGTTCACTCAACAATTTGTAGATTCACCAACTATACCTTGCAAACTCACAGTAACCTGTTAAATTTGCAAGTGTCATTTATTATAGGTTATGATCATGGAATATATAATATGATAGACAGAGTGCTCCCTGTGAACTCTTAATGAAGAATATAAGCCTGTACATCTTTTGAAACTGACATAAAGTCATTCGATAAAAAAATCAAATATTTGATCACATCCTGTATCATGACTCTGATGTAGTCATTCTTTGTGGTGATTAGGAAAATAAACAATTATTGCTTTCACTGCGTAAGAATTCATCCAGATTTTTTTGCAGCTATTTGCATTCAATTGGATTTTGATCTTGATGTAAGCACTGTCTAAATTTTTTTATCAAAGAATTTGTGAACACTACAGCATTTCAGTCTTAGCTGAAGATGATGTTCTTTGCCTTGCAATAAAACTTTCCATGTGAGAATATTAATACTTTGCAAGCCCTAATAAATCCAATGCAACAGGCATAGGGTGCACCTGCTACATTAAGAAGGGAGAAAGCTCTGGAATGAGCTGAAGTCAGCAGGCATGGGAGCACCTGACCAGAAAGAGGTGGGGTTTAACCAGGATATAAGCCCAGAGCCAGAGCTGGGGCAGGCAGTCTCACCCTGGTTGCTGACATGGAAGGAGCCTCTACACTCCAAGAAGTTAAGAGAAGGCAGCCTTAGAGCTGAGGTAGGTCTGGTGGTTTAGAGATTATGACAAGGGGTGGTGGTCTCAACAGGCCTGGGAGCAGGGCCAGAGCTTGGCAACAGAGTGAGGATGGGAACAGAGAAGGTCTGGTTCCTGGAGGGAATCAGGAGGGTCCAGTGCCCAGGAGGAACAAGGTACCCAGAAGTAGCAAGAATGGATAAAGTGCCCAGGTGTAGATAGTGGCCTGAGCCCAGGAGAGGACCTGGAAGGGTGATGGCACAGGGACTGCAAGTCCCAGCAGGGGTGGAGACAGGGTCCCAGTATAGGCTTAGGAGTGTGCTAACTGATAGCATCTGTGAGGCATGGATGTAGTGTAAGGCAGTGGTCACCAACTGGTCGATTGGTATCAACTGGTGTATCCTGGACCCTCTTGAAGTCAATCCTAGGCTGCCAGGGTTAAGTACGTGTGTGCATGCACACATGTGACTCCTGCCCCAAGCTCAGCAGGTCAGTTGGTGGAGGAGGGAGGAGGGGAAGCCCGGGGGGCACCTGCAGCGGGGGTCGGAGCCTGAAGTCCAGCCTGGAATGACATTTAGGGCAGGCCAGCAGCATGGTGGGGAGGGGGGGAACACAGCCCAGAAGGGCATGGGGGGGTGCATGTCCCCATATTTACCCATGGAGCAAGGCAGGCTGGGGCCGGGGCAGCACTGGGATGCTCCTGGCTGGACTGCACTCAGGCTGAGCAGCTACGGCAGCAGAAGCATCACTGGGAGTGGGGCCACAGCAGAGGGCCAGAGCCCCCCTGCTCTCATCATCACCACTGAGTGCAGCAAGGTCCAGGCCCAGCAGGAACAGCCCAGCACAGCCTTCCCCTCCCCTTTCCCCTTCCACCCCCTGAACACATGGGGAGAGGGGGCGTGCAGGGGAGGGCAGGCTGTAGCTGCAAGCTGGAGGGCTGTGCCATGGTGTTCCTGCTGGGCCTGTCCTGCATTGTGCTCAGTGGCAGCTAAGGCCTCCCTGCCCCTGCCTCCCCCAACCAGTGGCCCTGCTCCTAGCGCCACCACTGCCGCCACCTGGCCTGAGTGTAGCCTGGCCAGGAAGAGCCTGGCACCACCCTGGCCCCAGCCTGCAGCCCTCTACGCCCTGCAGGCAGATCCAGGGGAACAC